ATAACACACTAAACTTACAGGTACATGTATATATGCATGGTTTAGCAATGATAATATATTGGCGATAGCGACAACAAAAATATAAAGAGCGCGTCGTGCGTATGGGAAGGTGTGTGTGTAAGCGTGTGTGTGGGTGTGTGTGGAGAGTGAGAGAGAGACAGAAACGAAAGTATCGCTGCATGATGAGTGTATATGTTGTTTTACTGGATGCAGTGACATTTGACGTCCTGTGGAGTTTACTGAACTTGAAAACAAGGTTAAAGTCGGGGTCACTTTTATGCACTGTCAAATTACTCTAGTGCTGTAAATCATACGTCATGTCATTCCCATAAACTCGATTTAGAATAAGTACCGTATAATCAGTTATTTAACCCTGCACTGTGTTACTTTGGAATGGTGTTTGTATGTGGCACATGCATATATCTGTGCTTTATTTAATATAAGGCACTTTAAGGGGTTTGGGTTTTACAACATCATCATAATTAGATTAAAAGATCACGATGATTCACTCAAAATGTCTGATAAATGTCTGGAGGTCACCTGTTCTCGTCATTAATTATGATAATTAATTATAAAAGAAAGCCCCTTTTTTTATATATCTGATTGGATTAAGGACTGTCTTTGCCCGCCCATTTTGCACTGTAATCATGATACATGTGATCTTACTGTAAGTTTCAGACAGTGATTTAATCACTGTAAACCGCTGGTAAAACAAGCAAAAAGAAAAAGAAAAATAAGAAAAAGGAAAAAACGAAGCGAGAACGCAAAAATAAGTATCTTGTAAATATTTAAATTAAAAAACATTATTATTTTTTTTTTACAGATTAATAGCTTTTTTCAGCGCTTTGCCGCATTAAAGTATATAAAGTATCTTATATAGATACAAGATTTGCATATTTAGAATTTAATTTTGTTTGTTTTACACACACACACACACACACACACACACACACACATATATATATATATATATATATATATATATATATATATATATATATATATATATATATATATATATAAAAATGTTTGTGTGTGTGTGTGTGTGTATGTGTATACGTCTAAATAACTGATACTTGTTGCCTCAACTGGGAAGTTGAATAAAATTTACTTATTATATAATCATGAACGATAACTGCTCTTTAATGTTATTAAGCAATTATTCATTAATTTTAAACACTTGCTGTTTGCTGTTTTTAATTAATATTTTACGACTTTGAACATGATTACATATATTAATCATCTTTACATTCATTTAATATACCCAAGCTAATGTTGTATATTGTTAATATAAGTGTAGTATAAGTATAAAGTTGTATAAGTAATGTTGCACCGAGAATTGTAATGACGTTCAATTTTATCGGATTGTTTGGCTTGTTAAAAGCAAACAGATTTTGTTTTCTTTTTATATTTAGAGTAGGCTAAATAATAATAATAATAATAATAATAATAATAATGTTATTATTATTAATAATATTATTATTGTTGTTGTAATTATTATTATTATTATTATTATTACTATTAGGCTACATATCGCGTTCATTGTAAAATTGGTTATAGGCGACCACTTTCTTTTGTATAGCCTACTGGAGGACACCTTAGTAAATAGGATAAACATTTAAAATCGATTTATTGATTTGTCACGTGTAGGAATAATAATAAACCATTTTGAATTAAAATCGGTATGGTGAATTGGTTATTTGCGTTGGTGTACGGACTTTCGAATAATCTCCAACTGATCCTCTTTAAACAATCAATTAACACTTTCAGCTACTTATTCCATTATAAGTGTTGCTGTAATTGTATCTTTTCACTCTACTTTCAATTGAACGAAACTGATCCGCTAATGTAATCCAGAATCGATTGTTGCATATTTCAATCATCCCCTGCCCAAAACGCCTAGAGATCGGAGAGTCTAACAGATAACAATAGTCTATATTTCTTAGAAAAGCTTTTTTTCTGAAGTTCGCCTCTGAAATCCTGAACTACGCATTCGATTTCTTTTAATTGTAGTTTTTAATGTAGTGAGGTGACTTTTACACTAAACACATCTATAATAGGACAAAACAATGTTATTGTATCTGTATAGTAACATACTGACTACTGTATGCTAAATTATAAACTTATTTTAAGGACGCTGCAATTTAAATAATAATAATAATAATAATAATAATAATAACAATAATAATAATAATAATAATAATAATAATAATAATAATAATAATAATAATAATAAACACTGCGTAATAAAATTATATTCAATGATTTTAAACAGTTGCATTTAATCAAGGGTTGCTTGCTGAATGTATGTATTCATTATTGAATATTACCTTAAATTACTCATTGTTCATTTTAAAAAAACAATAGTTTTACATTTACATTCTTCGCCATTTATAATAATTATATAGTTATAAAAAAAAAAACAATACAACTCATCCCAGAATAATTGTTTTTAACGAACCGTATTTGGGTAAACATTATAATTGCTGGTTTATTAGTGAAATGTCATCGCAAAACACTGTAATTGTGTTTGTTTTTAAATTACCATCACCCTGTCGTGTTAATATTTGACTCTTTATTGATCTGTGCCTCTGTTTCATATGCATTAGTGCTCAGGTTTGCATTAAAGTAAAGGGGCTCTAAAACTGTTCTCTACATAAGAAAAAAAACGCAGGCGCCCAATTAACGATTCAAGGGGAAAGATCAGGAGCAAACGTCTTAAAAATGAATATTCTTTGTGAGTGAGTGCACAAACCCCATTAAGAAATGTTAAACGGAATATTTTGTGATCAATATTTGCTTCATCGCCGCTGCCTTTTCACTGTCTCTTTTTTATGATGTAGAGTAAATTGATGTGTAAATAAAACGTATGAAATCTTTGAAGATTTGTTGAAATTCATTTATTGATTTTTCTCACTCATATGCATTGGCTCAGTTTAGAATTTGTACATTTATTAAATATTATTAGTTTCACCAGTCGCAAAAATTTATTTAGGACGCCCAATGCGGGGTTTTTAATATTTTCAACAAATATTTCCAACACTTTTGTATACAGTTGGAATATTTACTAATTCGGTTTTCAGAGGCAAAAAGAGACGCTTTAGGTATAGGCCTTAACAGAAGATCCCTCCATCACCCCCACACATACACACACACCGCTGCGCACGTCACGGAGACACGAGTGCGAATGAAAAATATCGACCACTATGAGAATGTGCGCAGATGTGGCTGGCTGCTAAATTTCGTGCTTGAATACGATCTTTTTCATCAAATTAATGGTCGATGGTGATAATGCAAAGTCTGTGACCACTGTATGGCTTGCCATTTTTGTTTATGTGAAAATAAAGGATGTCGTGAGCCTGACAGATTATTTCTCTGAAATTCTTAATGTGTAATTATATATTTTAGATTCAGATTTATTTGTGCATTAGTTTATTTGTTTTTATATTTTCAACTTAGTTTCATTTCACTTCTGAAAACTTTATGTTTTGCGTAGTTGTCAACATTTATTACGATAGTAATCATAAAATCAACATTTTATTAGTACATTAGCCTATTATTATTGATATAATTATTTAGAATTATGCGATACGTATTATTCATCTCTTGTTACATTAACCACTTGATGTCACATCTCCAGTCCTCAAATCCACAAATGATCCGTGTTGACTTCTAATTTGTTGCAATTTAACTTGATCATTTTTTTCTGTTCTTCTTAACTCGTTAATCCGAATGGCATTGTTCTTGACCCTGACAGATGCATGTGTGTTTTGTCACTAAGCAGGTCCCTAAGAAACAAGGAAAAGTCTGAAAAAGTTAATCTCTCTCCCTCCCCCGCAGCTGTTAGCTTCAGGAGTCTTGAAGCGTCACCTTTGACATGTCCCCTATATGCGCACGAGCGGGGGGCCCAGGGCTGGGGGCCCCAGGACTGACCACTGCAAGCTGTCACCCCACCCGGGCTTGGACGCTTTCGCCGAGGCTCCTAACTGTCCGGTTATCCCGTTCTCTCGCCTGACTGGTCATGAAACTGACTTTTTGGAGTCGATTTTAACTATAAACAATGTGAAGTCGTGCAAAGTGATATCTCTGTAATATGGGCGTGGGGGTGTTCAGGGGGGCTAATAACTGCCTAGCTCATTTTTGTTCACTTTAAAAACTTTTGCGTATAAATAATGTCAATTTATTAATTATTACATTTTAATCTCCCACCTATTTTAGCCTATACAAGCTACAGTAATTGTATGTACATTTATCTATTGGTTACTCGCATTTTATAAAGTCGCACTGTGGCACTTTTGTTTCTCAATGGAGTTCAATTGTATTCATGGAAACCTGTATATCCAAGAAAAACGAATGCATGTTTATCGCACTGATTTGCAGGATAATCGGGTTTTGCCTATTAATTTATGTGCAAAATGAAGTTCACCCATGAAACGTAATGTGCTGTGTCATTATACTGCCAGGCCACGGAAGCGGGACACACTCCTGATGGCTTGGTTCGTTACTCTTAATAGCACAACAATAGAAACATCTGTCCAGCCTTTCTCCGCCTATTACCAATAAGTCTGTCCTTGAACTCAAAAACACTCCAACTCTGCATGAGACGAGATGAATTACATTGAATAATGTGTATTTGTATGATTTTCTGAAAATAAAGAAAATGTTTAAATACCCTGTGCAGTTCGTCCTTCCTTATTTAGATTGGATGTGATGATGATAATGATGTATATTTAATTTTGTAGCTAAGCCTAGTATATCTGTAAATACATGTAAACAATTCAAAGAAATTTGAAGATTAAGGGATTTGATATGCATATTCATGCAAGTGAAGGCCCCCAGGTGAACCCGGAAGTGTGTTTTCTTTTTCCATTGAATTAAGGAGGTTCTTCCAAACTAATTACCTTTATACATGCATTATTCAGACGCACGATGCTTCATCTGATGTTTAATCAAAACATATGCAGCTTAACACTTCATTCCAATCCATTTCACATCTTTTATTATTTTCTAAGCATAACAGCTTGTGTAAGGTTGTTCATGCTATACATCCAAAAGGAGGCATTTTTATTTAATAGCAATGGGGTGCAACTTCCTTAATAAGTGACGTAAAAGGAGTTGGGATCAGCGCGCATGCGCGGGAAAGCAGAGCAGCAGCCGCAGCACGGATCAGTGCGCGAAACAACAGCAGACATGGCAAGAGATGGCGAGGGACGCGAGCACACCGACACCATGCACTGCTGAAGGGACGGGGGCCTTAACATTTAGAAAAAATATTAAAACTTTATAAAACATAGAAAAAAGGGAAAAAATAGAAAAGAAAGCAAAGAAAAATTACTCCATATAAGAACAGAACTTTTCCAATGAGAGCACTTCTGTGGACACTGCTCCGCTATATCAGATAGATGATTTGTCCACAAGCTTGCACGTATAATGAACGCCCAGCTGTCGATGGAGAACATTGGCGATCTGCACGGAGTGAGCCATGAACCGGTCCACAGCGCGGCGGATCTCATGACCGGAGACAGCGCTCATCACAGGAGTCATCGGAGCAGTCTGTCAGCCCATGCGCGCTCCATGGGCATGGCTTCAATCCTGGACAGCGGCGACTATCATCACCACCGGCCCCCGGAGCATCCCGGGCTCGCCACGCACCTGCACCCGGCCATGAGCATGGCATGCGAGGCTCCCCCCGGGATGAGCATGAGCAGCACCTATACCACCCTCACTCCGCTGCAGCCTTTACCGCCCATCTCCACCGTCTCCGACAAATTTCCGCACCACCATCATCATCACCACCACCACCATCACCACCCGCACCAAAGGATCCCGGGGAACGTCAGCGGGAGCTTCACCTTGATGAGGGACGATAGGGGTCTGGCTCCGATGAACAACCTCTACTCTCCCTACCACAAGGATGTTGCCAGTATGGGACAGAGCCTTTCGCCCTTGTCTGGATCCGGACTGAGCGGCATTCACAACTCGCAGCAGGGGCTGCCGCCGTACGCGCACCCCGGGGCCACCATGCCCGCCGAGAAGATGCTTACACCCAACGGATTCGAGGCACATCACCCCGCGATGTTGGCTCGACACGGGGAGCAGCACATGAGCGCGTCTTCGGCGAGCATGGTGCCGATCAACGTCATCCACCATCACCCGCACGCCCATCTCAACGCCCAGGGCCACGGACAGGTGCTGGGCTCCACTCGGGAGCAGAACCACTCCTCCGTTCCCGGATCGCAGCTCAACAACGGTAGCAGTTCGGGTCAGATGGAAGAGGTCAATACCAAAGAAGTGGCCCAAAGGATCACCACTGAACTCAAAAGATACAGCATTCCACAGGCCATCTTCGCCCAGAGGGTGCTGTGTCGCTCGCAAGGGACGCTTTCGGACCTGCTCCGGAACCCTAAGCCCTGGAGCAAGCTCAAGTCTGGTCGGGAAACCTTCCGTAGGATGTGGAAATGGTTGCAGGAGCCTGAGTTTCAGAGAATGTCCGCGCTCAGGCTCGCAGGTGAGAGAACAATAGGTAATACACACTTCTTCTCTTATCTTCAGTGTATCACCCTCATTTCATCACAACACTTCATATTAGTTTCCATTCAGCGTTCATGTTTTGTTTGCAGCGCTTTTTGGAGGTTGGATATTAAGCTTTTGTCAGGTTATGCGGTTTTATTTCGTGCATCATGTGTCACTTTTGATTTATATTGATGCATTCAAAATTGAGCTTGTGCTTCTCGATGTTAAATATTGACCACCTAGGTAAAGTGATCCCGTGTAATGAGTTTGTTTTGCTTTGCTTGTTTGTTTAGGCCTGTTTGGCCGAGTAACATGGAAGAGCCAACAGAAAATAGTTTGATGAGAAATGTGCGTCTGCAAGGCTCGGTGACTACAGTCCCATTGTCTCCACGTGAAAATGGATGCAGCGTCCCAGTGTCCACCTGTTTTTGCAACACGTTTATGACCTCCATATAAATTTTTATTTATAACAGTAATGCTTGAGGTCAAACACAGTTGCAAGTCTCTTGAGTATATTTTTGTTTTAAAAACGGTGTGCGAAAATACGTTACGCGCACTGCTGAGCCCGTCTTTGAATACGTGTCGCAGTGTGTGTTTGGGTTTGCAAGAAAAGGACAAGTCTTTCTTCTGTCTTGTCCTAGCTGGATCTCTTCATCTATTGTCCAGCTATAGTGACGTGGTCTCTATGTAGGTTTTCTTAATTAACTGATTGGGGCTCCATTAATTTGCCTCACGAGAATTAGAATCAATTGGCGGGCGGCTTTAGGGGCCACTGATCCGTTCAAATCCAGCAGTGGAAAAAAAAAGAGCATCTTAAATATGAATGTCTCTTTTATGCACAGCTATATCAGTTGTAATAGCAAATATAATTCATTTAAGCACCTGAAATAAGGCTAAACTTGACAAATGAAAATACTTTCTTGGCCGAAAAAAATAATAAGAATAGTTTGAATGAATTATGAGGAGAGGTTTATGAAGGTTGTACATTTAGGCTCTCTCTTTGTGGTTGTCGTACTTAGCACTCTTATTTCTTTAGATATGGACGTTTTTTTTTACTAACAATGTCATAGTTTTATGCTATTATATGTGCATAAATGTTAAGCTCATGTTTGTTTGGGTTTGGATCCCTATTCGGCCTTAGCTTTTGCTCCAATGTTTTGCAGCTCTCGTTGTAATGGTCAAGATATGTCTTTACACCATTCTTTTTTATTTACAAACGTTTGTAAAAAGCAATCTTAGAGGAAAATAATTTTTTCTAAAGTGTCCTAACTATGCGCTTTTTCGTTTTACTTTTGTTGTTACTAAAGTGAAACATTCCGAAACAACTTAAATCTTTTCGAATTTTCATTATTATATTTATTATTCGTTATTAAAATTAACAATAATAATAATAATAATAATAATAATAATACATAAAATTAATAACAAATGTAATAACAAACTATTAAACTTTTCGTTGCTCCTCAGCGTAGTAGCCTTTATATTTCGGTTTAGTGAAATTATTTCTTATTCAGTTAAATGATATTTAAATTAGTTAAGGTTCCAGACACAGTGATGTATATTATTGATTGAGTACACATGGTTGAGGGTATGTGATCGGACTACTGAGAGGTAAATATAGAATTGGTATATTGATTATTCAAATTCAGTTCCCTTCTCCTTTTCCTTAGTAACGTAAGACAGTAGACCCACTCAGCAGTCTTTCAGATCACTGCTCTTTTACACCTTTTACACACTCGTGATTTTGTGCAGTAAATTTGTGGTTAATGCTTCTATATTCAACTGCGTTTTGATTCAGCTTTTTGTATGTTTTAGCTTATTATTGATTACCCTAAATTTTAATTTTGTTTTGCGTAAAAAGTATTAGGATCATTGGTCTAATTGTATCTAGAGAAAAAATAGCCTTCCAGTGTTCTTATTGTATATTTAGGCTATTTATATTTGCGTATAGTTTTGATATTTAAAAAAAAATGCGAATTTCTCAATGACATATTCAATGTTGTAGTAGCCCAAAAACTGGGGACAAACAGCGAATATTAAGGTAATGAATATTAAATATTTTTCTCTATAATATATTATAAATGGTTTAAATTTAAATATTAAAATTATTTTGCAAACTTAAAATATGCAAGTCCGAAACCAGATTTTTGCGGCTTCGCTAAAACTTTACAACTATCATTCAACCATGTGATCAATAATTATATTTAGTTTAGTTAAATTATCAATAATTACATGGTTTATGTAGGCTATATTTTAAAAAAATGTAACAAAGCACCATATAGGTTATTATTTTAGCTTCTCTGTTATTAGGTCTATTACTGCAATATTATAAGTAATACATAATTATATGCTATACTTGTTTGGTAGCCCAAATCATTTTTGAAAACGATGTGGCTACAGCATAAGATTATGCTGTTTTGTTGCTGGAGCCACAGTGAAATGAGTGACCATTGGCGCGCCCTCGCCCTCGTGTGCGCGCTTATCTGGCGCCTGTCTAATGATTTGCAGACAAACAGTACATATATGTGATGATCAAATGTGCTGAAGGATAAAGAGCTTCACAGTTACTTTCCTGGGAATCTGCTGGTCTCGTCACAGTGGCCTTGTTGTGTATGGACAGATTTGATTTATGACACATGATAGCAAACTCATTTGCTTTTTGTTAATATTTACCTGAAAGTTTCAAACTGTTTTCCATGTGCATAGTTTCGTTCTTCTTTTGTTGCGTTATAGCTATTTGATTTACAAATAAATTAACAAACAGGCTAAATAAAATAAAACACAATATACTATAGCCTAATTAATAAAAAAATAATATTTTGATATCGTGTGTTTTACGCATCTTGTGTAAGTATTAGTTCATTTTTAACACATTAGAAGAATTTTATCTTTTAAAAGATAGCTTTTCAAATAGGCTAATGTATTTCTTGACTGTGCTACTTTAAATAAGCAATGTGTTACAGAATGATATATATATAGCTTGATGCATATGCATATTCATAGCTTGAGTCGGATTATTTGTTTAAGTAGACTGCATTTGATGAATCCAATGTGCGTGCGTGCGTGTGAAGTAAATACCTGCTCAAGCAGTTTCCCACCATCTATTAGCGCCCTCTTGTGGTTTTCTTAAAAACAGCAACCTTGGGACTTTTTTAAAACATCAATGGCCTTCGTTTAAAATTCGCTTTAAATAAGTTTTTTTATAATTCATATTTCTTAATTGGTATGCAATAATTGATTGATTCACCCTCCAAAAAGCATTTGTGTTTTTTGTCTATTTCATGTCAGATTAAAAAAAAAACATTTTAGAAATTTACAGTATGTCTAAACGAATAAATCATTCTATTTATACGATATCCACAAATGTCTGACTTTTGCATATCGACATTTTGTTTTTTCAGCGTGCAAACGAAAGGAGCAGGAGCACGGTAAAGGCGAGCGGGGAAACATCTCCAAGAAGCCCCGGTTGGTCTTCACCGATGTCCAGCGTCGGACTTTACATGCAATATTCAAAGAGAACAAGCGTCCGTCCAAAGAGTTACAAATCACCATCTCTCAGCAGCTGGGCCTGGAGCTCGCCACCGTCAGCAACTTTTTCATGAACGCGCGTCGACGGAGCCTCGATAAGTGGCTGGACGACGGCAGCTCCAACTCGGCCAACTCCTCCTCCTCCAGCACTTGTACCAAAGCATGATGGAGTAACGGCTGCATTGTGGGGAAAAAAAGAAAAAAAAAACTTCGGTGGAAAAGCTTTAAACAAAGAAAACTTAACAAAAGACAATTTTAGACAGCGTTTGCCCTTAAAACTTGTACAGTACCGATATTTATAATATCCAAAGAAAAACACCAAAGACTGCTTTGACCTGCATTTAGGACTTTGTTCGTTTAGCCTATGTCTGACATTCTGCAAAAAAACAAAAAAAAAAAAGAAGAAGAAGAAAAGAACTTACACTCCAATCACTGGTCGTTCCCCACTCTTCCCCATAACCTGCGTCAAAAACATTTCTTTTTCGTTAATGTTCATGTGATTTTAAGAACTTTTTCTCATCAATGATTGGTGATTATTTTTCAAAAATGGAGTGATTGTTATTCACTCTGATGTCCGATTTTGTGACGTCACATACTCACCTCTGTGTTTTTAGGTATCCCAAATCTAGCCAGGGATGCCAAATACAATCAGGTGGTGTAGAATCTTGACAGTTTTCCTGAATGTCACCCTCAGGATAGTGCTTTCTTCCTAATTGCTGGAAAAGTCACATAGGAACCCAAAAATACATGTGAACTTGCCATCTCCACGACTTATCGATCAATCAATCACAGATGGTAGAACCAAAGAAACACGTGTATTTAATTTATTTATCTATTTATTTATTTATTTATTTGCTTTGCTTTATCAGACCAAACTATGTTGATTACTCTTTATCAAGACACCCAGTTACAGTTCAAATCAGGTGACTATGGACTGTGGGTTCTATAGCCATTCGACATATAATTAGATCTCTTCTTTGTCCCAAAACTAACTCAATCAGTCAGACACATGTCGGGACACAGCTTATCTCGTCCTTCAGTCTTGTGATTATTTCAGGGAGATTTTTGCTAGCTTTAACCTGCCTTTTTTACCTGTATTTTTAAATGCCAGTTGCTGAAAACCAAAGATAATGTTACACCAACCAGCACCTGTCATTGTTTCATATACACATCCATCCATAAAGCACAGCTACACGGGAGATATTATTTAAAAAACTACTCAGCACAGTGTTTTGTCATTTAGTATAGTTAGCTTTGTCTGGATCCTGTTAATTAGTTTGAAAGTTAGGTTGTTTTGTGTTATACAGACTTTCATACATCACTTCTTAACCCTAGAATGTCAGTGTAATGAGTGTGGCTGTCAGCATGCTTTCAAAAACTCAAAACCCATCTGCTGTCATGTATCATATCCCATTAAGCTCACTTAGATACTTTTTAATTTCTTGATAGAAGGCTATTTCATTGTCTAATGCATCATTTTCATGGCACCGACCATCAACACCTCCGCAGTGTCCCCCATTCAGGCCCAATACCCTTGTAGAGAGAGGGAGCGCATTCTATGCATTTCACAACTAGGAAGAAAGCATTATGGAGACCGAAGAAGGGTGATGCGTTCGCTTCATATAACAGACTCACTCAAAACTCACAAGATATCTGGCCTTGTTGTCTCTTGTGGTGTGTTTTAGCTTTAAAAAATATATTTGGTATTTACGACTATTACAACATCGAAGCATATATAAAAGAGCGCTGCTTCCTCATGTAGAAAAGAAAAACAAATGACCAAAAAAAAAACATGTTAAGACCTGCTGATATTTATAGTGTGAACCAAAGATGCTACCTCAGTCCGTTTCCATTCGTGATTTCTATCAAAGTAATGATACCAAAGAATACCAAAGATTTGTTCTCTTTGCACGGCCTAAATGAATGATATGGTGGATGAATAGATGGTGTGTTTCCACTCCTTTCCTCTCCTCTCCTTCGCTCTAATGCTCTCCTATCACTCATCCGTGCTCATGTAACAGCGCCCTCGGCAGACATGTGTTAAACTCACAGGACGAGTGCCTTGCTTGAACCAAAGTGTTAAACCGCCGTTGACCTCTCGACACCCACCTTTTAACTCTCGGAATACCTCAGCCTGTGGAAGGGCCACTGATGAAGAAAAAAGTGGAATATTTCTTCTCTCTCACCGTGGTGCTTTTGCCAGCGCAACCATGCAATGAAAACATACCAAAGGAATTTCTCTTGCTTTCTCCAACTCTTTGCTGACATACCAAAGCTCCTTTTCACCGCCCTGCCAAATCTGCCGCTTGCCCCGCCTCCCCCTCGTCACATCACCAGTGGGTGTGTCCACCGATTAGGCCGTGCACATCTTTACCAATATCTGAATACCTCATAGTAATAAATTTTCACAGTTCTGTTGTATAGAGAGTTTATGTGATTAAGACAGAACTGAACTAGTTTGGTAAATCGTTGATGTTACTTCGGGAAAAAAGCTTTATGAGTATTTATTTTGATGGTTTTGGCTAAAGTGCTCAGTTTTGGTCACCAAAGGGCAAGTTTCTGTGATAGCAGACCGAAACTTGCAGGAAGGAAAAAAAGAAGCTTATTTTTTATTAAAGCCTTGTGTTATTCCGATACTTTAAGGATGTTTGACTATTCTTTTTTACAGGGTAAAACCAACTGCTGTGATTCTGTGTCTATTCGTTCACTTTCTTCTATACTGTGTTGTGATTTCCGTTTATTTAATTGCATTTTTTTCTTTTTGTATCGCTTAACCTCTGTTTTAATTTATGTATTTGTAGAAAATATAGATTTGTACATAGTAGGTTTTTTGAAAAAAAAAAAAAAAAAAAAAACGTAACAAAAAAAATGGACATTCATTTTTATTTTACAGCCTTATGTCTGAAGTGTAGATATATCGATGAATTTCCACTCCTCTATGTTTGTATGTTAGATGGCACTTTGGCCCATGTACGAATACACTGCCAGAGATCCGAACGGTCACCCACAGAGACCCGCAGAGGACTGACCTCATAGCGGCAACAACAAGCAGTGTGATGTTTTGTTTTATGTTTTTTTTTTTTATTTAAATGTCCAGAATGATTTGTCTTTGTATTACTAATCATTGTTTTATGGGTATTGCTGCACATCCAAAGATTTTCTAACCAAACCAAAAAGTGGGAGGGAAGGGTGGGGAGGGGGATAACGAAAGAAGTAGCGTAATTTTTGCATAAGCACTGGCGTTTGTGAGGTCAATTGCTGTCTCCACGGGTATGAACCAGTAGTGGTCATAGAGGGACAATGTAGACAAGCTTTAGTTCAAATTACTGGGTGACATATACTGCTAAACAGTACAATCTGTGGCTTATGGGACTGAGGGCTACAAGTCCTGCTCACTTTGCTGTGTCAGACACTTGAGTGGGTGGAGCATGGGCGGGGCAGCAGGTCTGCCATGGGCGGGGGCCACGTCGCTGGGTTGTTTTTTTATATGACGTGGCACAGCCGCCTAGATCCATCTGATGTTAACTTTGGTTGGAACATGTGTACTGACAATGAGCAAAGTCTAATAAATTTGAAAAGAAAACAGGAATTGGTGTGTGCATGTGTTGGGAAGGGTGAAAGTGTGAGTTTAATGTTGTATCTTGAAGCTGATTGTAACTTCTGATCCACTAGCAGTACCAATCGGAATTCTGGAATGAGTTTCAAACACTCTTTCCAAATTAACGATTAAATAATTCCAAATTACCAAATTAGAGATGCCTGCTTTAGGGATAAACCAGCCTAATCTCGCAAGAAAACGTAAGTATTTTACGTTTTGTCAGTTTAGCGACGAAATCGTACGAGTTTAGTTGTATGAAATTGTACAATTTTAAAAAGGAGGTGTGGCATCTAACCCCACCCCTAAACCCAACCGTCATTGGAGGATGAGCAAGTCGTTCTAAATTGTATGAATTAGATTGTACGAATTCTTAGGAATTAGCCACTAAATCAAAAAGTTATGAATTGCTGTGAGATTGTGTTGGATAAACTGTACTTGGCCTTTCTCCTAAACTCTTTGGACACGATCGATGTCAAAAGAAGTATCAGTGGTAGTCGTCAGACAATCTGATGGATTATATTTGATAAACAATTAATAATTTGCATAAATTTGGCACAATCCGATTTGTCCATTTGCATATGATTTTCTCATGCCCCAAAAGCCTTATGTTTACTTTTATATTTAGGGGTAAATCTTTTATGTTTACTTCTTACTAAAAATTGTACATTTTTATATAAATACAATTGTACAAATACGAACCTTCCATTACATTATACACTATATTTACCTTTTCCTTTGAGACTAAGTTGCATGAACCTCCAAAAATGAGTTGGCAAAAAGTGTTATGATGATAATTCTTACTAATTATTACAAGTTAACTACTAATTCCACAAAAAATGTAAACTAGTGTTTTACAAAACAACAAGTGAGATTGGGTTTGTACAATCCTTACAAACTGAAAAAATACAGAAAATACAGCAATTATGTTTAAAATTATGTTTTAATTAAATATCGTGATGATATTTTATTAAAAACATTACTATTTACGCTATATTGTTAGCACTTACAAGTTTTTACAATGTTTTGTCAATATTTGTCTCAACGTAATATTTGTCTCTTAACGAAAATGGTTAAGTTTTACTGTCTGTGAGACTCATTTTGAAACCTCTACAAGTCAGTTTTAGGCAAAACATTGCTATAATTTCACTTTTCAATTTATTTATTTATTTTTTTAAACTTTTACTTTGTGAGTAAACCCCTAAAAACTCACAGATTTAGTACTGGTATCATTACTTCAACAAAAAAAAAATTAAATTTCTGTTTGATGCTGCTAGTGGTTCAGGCTTCATATTTGAAAGTTCCCCTCATTGGGGACTTGTGTGTGTGTCTGCTTTGGAAAGAAGGTACCACTTTATGACATTATGAAAACCGATGTTCGTTAACTTAGCAGGATTGTAGAAAACGCAGGATAGTCTCTCTGTGCTGTACAATCAGAGTTGTTTCATTCCGTGCTTTAGGTTTGTTGGCTATATGTTGCGTAACCTATAATAGAGAGATGATCCAGATGCAGCATTTAGGATTTGTTTTAGTATAACGAGTCAAGAGCCTCTCTGCCCAGAATCCCTCCCACAACACAGTCAAAGAAGTGTTTGCCCACAGCATCACAGCAGCTCTGCATCAGAATACTCACCCCCTTCTCCTCCCGAAACCCCTATGCTCCGTCCCGACCCACCCCTCTAAAGTAGTGTCTAGCTTAGATAGCTCGATGTATGTGAATGTTGGGATTGCTCTAATCATTAATTCCTATCCCAGTTGGTTGTCGTGGAAAAGGAGTTCCTATTTGATAGAAGGCTTGGCTCTGTGTGCCGTATAATACTGAGAGCGCCTAAGACAATCAGCTGGAAAACAAAAATCATGTTTTTCATTTTTTTAAATAATCCTTTTTTTTGTAGGTCCAAGAGGGACTACTTCCAGCGATGATTATTATAACGAAGAAGGAAGGTTTTGATAAACTGAAAAATAAACTTGCTGACATTTTCTTTTTCGCAAAAAATGTAGTGCTCGTTTCCATTTCGAACAGTGCATCTTGTATCAAGCTGGTTCTGTTTTTTTACATTTTTCTTTACTCTCAGCCTGTTTTCTCTCTGTATGTTGTGTCTGTTTCAGTGGAGGAATGCAGTAGGTATTACTCTCAGGTTGTAATGCGTCATGCTTTTCATTTGAAACTCTTATCTATCAATTTTCTTTGTTTGTTTATTTGTTTGTTTGTTTTTTTTCTTTCTTCTTTCCTGTTAGCTACTGTTCTCTATGCCGTGCAATATCATCTTCTGTGTTTGCTACGCAAGAAAAAAAAAAACAGAAAAAGAAAAAAAAAAGATGCAAGTAATGATGTCACCATGCTTTTTTCAGTGTTCAAATGTTTCAGCATTTCTGTAGTCACAAAAATGTAGAAAATAAAAAGGTTGGGTTTTCCAGCACATTACAACCAGACATCTTGACTTTATTTCCTTTCATTTCCAGCTGTTATGTCTGTGATATTGTTAGGGCCAGACAGATTCTGACATTTTTTGTTATTTCTGCTAAAAGTTTTGTAAAAAAATCTGCAAATTTATGCGGAATGATTTTAAGAGTATCTTAACTACAAATAATACAATTTTTAATTTTTATTTAATGCTTACAGCACAAGTCCAATTATATCCGCTTTTTTTGTAAACAAAGCAAGTCTCTCATATAATAAATCTACTAAAAGACAGAACATATTATTTTACGAACTGTGTTGTGAATAAATCATATGAACCTTTTAATATTTTTATTATTTTATCACAATAATATTACTAAAATGAATTTAAAAACTGAATAAATAGTATTTACACACATTTACACAAATACATAGACTCATTGATGGGCTAAAAATCTGTGGGCAGGTATAAACAAAAATGTGTGCTGCTGGCTACACAGGATGTACTACAAGTTTTCAAAATCTCTAGAGTCAAACAAGGTTAAATTTAAAAGGGATAGTTCACCCAAAATGAAAATTCACAATTTACTTACTCTCAAGTGATTTCAAATATTTTGTTGAACACAAAATAGAGTATTTTGATGAAAGCTGAAATCCTGAAACCATTGCCTTACATAGAGAAAGAAAAAATATTATATAAGTCAGTGGTTACAGTTTTTCAAAAAGTGGTATTTTGTATTTAAAAGAGGAAAGAAACTCATAAAGGTTTGCAACAAGTAAAGAGTGAGGGTGGACATAATATTTATTTTTATGTGAATTATCCCGTTAAATACTGTCAGGTAATTTTATCATGGTTTACCATGAAACTGCAATCGTTTTATACGTAAAAGGGCAGATAGAGCGAATTATCATTCTACTTTCATAGTAAAAGCAATTGTAGTCAACTAAGTATAAAATAAGCAGTGTTGAGGGGGAATACATTACGCGTAATGAGTTATATTCATATTTCTAACAAGTAAACTAACATTACTTCTTAATTTCCAAGAAAATATCTGAGATATTAGGTACAGTGTATGATTTTATCCCATAGAGGGTGCATTTTCACAACAAAGAAAAGGTGTATTTTGATGATGCCATGACTGAGTGTGGAATAATGGGAGTTGTGGACTTCATTACACCATATCGGACTCATCAAGAAATCCTGTTCATGGATGACTAATCATATTAAAAATTTATTATAATGGAAGTCTGAAGTAAAACACTAAAGCAAATGCTGATGAGAAACAAGTGTGAAGCAGGTCACACACCAGAAGTGCCGCTCGGCGCCGCGACACGGCGCGCACATGACAGTTTAAAGTATCACACACCAGACGCGCACATTCAAATGATATTGCGCCGGTGTGTGTATCCTGATAGAAACCTATGTTTAAAATTCCAAAATGCATTGCGCTGCAAGTCGCAAGTCGGCGGCTGTCGGCGGCGCCCAGCCACGGCTCAGGACGCAGTTCATTTTTCAGCCGTGCCACAGAGCGCCATCTGATTAGTTTCATGTTAAATATCATTCGAATGTGCGCGTCTGGTGTGTGATACTTTAAACTGTCATGTGCGCGCCGTGTAGCGGCGCTTCTGGTGTGCGACCTGCTTTACTCGACATAAAAGCACCGGAGCTTTTACTATGCCACAATCGGACGATTTTAACTGCCAAGACAACACAGCACACAGTCTCTATCATTAGCTGAAATTGCTTCTTTCTCTGGATTTGAACATTCTTCATAATATTTGAGATAATGTAGGTAAGTCAGCAAAGTGTATAACACTATTATAGTGGTTTATGGATAATTCATTAAATAAAATCAAACATAATGCCTTAAAACATTTTTTAAAGTAATGACTGTTCATTCCTAATGTTAGTCTTAATTCTGTTTACTCTCTATAGCTGCAAAATATTTACAATGTAAAGAAGTAAAGATGTGAATAATAATAAAAAATTATTAAAAAAACATTAGCTTGGTCTGTTGCCTTGTTGAATGTATTAACTAAGATAAGAGTGTCTAAACACTCCTGAAATTCAAGCCACTAAGACTGAAAAAGTCTGTAAATAGTTAAATATTTGTTCAAGATATGTTTGACATCTGTCTCCTTTACCAGCAAGAGTTCAATGTTGCTTCTGAAGGATGGGTAAATATCCAAAACATCTAACGTTAGCATATTTTGAGAATATTCCCCAAATTTCCTTTCTAAAAAGAGCTTTTTAACTTTCTGTAAATTTTTCATTGTCTCTGACTACATACAGGGACTAGAGCTAATTCACTGCCATTCATATTCTGTATATGAATTATTATACACTGTATAATAAGATAAACACATCTGAGGGAAGCAGTAATATGCCAGTCGACAGGTTGAATCAGCTTGCTCTCCAACAACAACTACATGGGTGTATCAATCCACTAACCGTACTAGCAGTTGTAAACTATTCCTCTCCATCGTTGTCCAAGTCCAGTGTTGAACATATAGATCTATATGCTGATAATAATTTCCGATATTTTGGCCGCGAGAATTCGCCCGTTTGTTCTGTTGTTTCTGAAACTTTTTAACATAGCTCAGTGACTCCGCCCTCTTCTGGAAAGCAGCAGCTCGTTTGCATTTAAAGGGACACACGTTTGACAATCGCTTATAAACGACCTGCTGTGAGCTTTGAGAGGCAACTTTACAGGCTCAGAACCAGAACACAAGAGATTCATTTGACATCTTATGAAAACGAGTATGAAAACTATGTTGATGAAAACTCATGAAAACTATGTTGACTAAAATAAAGTTATATAAATAATTATAATAAATTAATTAACTAGTATAATAAATATAGTAATTATAATAAAGTAATTAACAGTCATTTCACAAGCAGATTTGTTTGACAGTAGTACTATATATGTAATATAGTTATTATAAAATTCTAATCGATCCATATAGCAAAAATGTTTAATTACTATTTTTGTCCCATTAAGCTTTTTTGTTATTTAAATAAATTTAAATACTTTTACCATTTTGTTTTAAAAAAATTAAAAATCACAAAAAGCAAGTAACATGTGAACAATAAAACGGTGGCTTTCAGTTTTGTAACTTTCTTTCTTTGTTCTTTATTTTCTTTACCTATTTTCTCCCATTTTAAAAATGTAATCATTATGCCAACCCAGCTAGCAAAAACAAATTCTCGAATTCCTTATTTGTTAGTGTCACCAGTGTTCATTCTTAAAAAAAATAGAAATTAAAACCATTCTAATTAAAGAATTTCACTGTATGGATACAAATATCACATACACTTTTCATTTCTATTGTTAAATTCCTATGTAGGCTATTTTTTGGTTGTCCGCTTTTTAATTTTATTTTTATTGGTTGAGTTTGTTTCCTGTAGCATTAATTCAACTGATTACATCTGATTTATTTAATTAATTTAAATTTAACTGTGACATCTTTCGAAAAAAAATGTGCAGCATAAAGTGACATATAAATTCGCCAGCACCTCACCTGTGATTCTAAATAAAGTCCACTAGATGGCATAACACAACCGCGATAACTAAACCAGTCCCTTGTGCCAAACAAAGACAATTTAAATACAAAAGGATTTGCAAATCTGACTATTGTTCTGCTAAGTAGGTCTTAACATGGTCATTTTTGTTTTCAAATAGACAAGGTTAATCATAAGTCTATTTACATCCTTAAATTTGTTGTGCTTCAATCAGTATGTGAAAAGAAATGGTTGACAATTTGGGTATATGAGCATTCATTCATTCGTTCATTCATTCATTCATTCATTCATTCATTCATTCATTCATTCATTCATTCATTCTTTGTTCGTTCGTTCATTCATTCATTCATTCATTCATTCATTCATTCATTCATTCATTCATTCATCTATCAATTCATTCATTCATTCTTTCTTTCTTTCTTTCTTTCTTTCATTCATTCTCTGTTTTATGATGTCACACAAAGAATATCAAACACAAAACTTTTATTCATTTATTCATTAAACATGCTAATTAGTTTATCTTGAAACGTTTACAACTGATGTTCTGCAAGAAAAGGTTGAGAGAAATAGTTTGTTTGGCTTTAAAGAATTTTTTGGGTGATCAAATCAAGAATGAAGTAAAACAAATGTGTAAAAATTAAGGAAATTAATATATTAAAAATTAAATGGTAATAAATGTGAAATCAAAGATGTAAAAAGTAATTGTGTTTTGTTTTTGGTTATAATAATTAAATAGCCTAATTTTATTGTTACACTTTTGATTTGATCTATACCTAAAGACATTTAAAATCAGGTGTTGCTGTTGTTGCTGTTTTTAAATTTATTTTTCTGACCACCTAGCAAACAAAATTTGTTTGTTTTAGGCTATTCTTTCTATTAACACTCAAAGTATAATTTGTTTTTTTAAGCTTTGTCATTGTTAAAAATGTAATGTTAAATTTTAGCATTACATAGACATTTTAATAATAACAATAATAATAATAATAATAATAATAATAATAATAATAATAATAATTAGTATTATTAGTAGTAGTAGTAGTAGTAGTAGTAGTAGTAGTAGTAGTAGTAGTAGTAGTATTTTGTCATAAATAGTTTGGGTTATTGGGTTAATTTGCTACACAAATAATAAATCATAACTTATTTATAATACAGTTTTCACAGTCACCATAAGATTTTAATTTCTACAAAACAATCATGTTGATTTTTTTCCATAGTATAGAAAACGGTAAATTGGAAAGTAAATTTAGTCCAACACAAGATGTCATTCTGAGCATAGTCCACTAGGTGGCACGACACAACTGCTATAACAAAACCCGTGTCTCATGTGTCAACCAAAGCCAAAGTAAACTAAACCTTAATGAATTTAAAATTAGAAATTCAAAAGGTGTTGCATAGATATACTTTTTTCAGTTATTTATGAATAGAAATACAAAGTCACGTGTTAAACGTCATAATCTGATTGGTGATCCCCAAATAAAGTCATATTTGTAGTATCTCATAAGACAGAGT